TCCTTGATCTTTGCCATTTTAATTATTATGTGTCTTGCTGTTGACCTCTTTGGATCCTGTCTCTCGGGAGTTCTGTGTGCCTCCGTAGTCTGAGCAACTATTTCCTCCCCCAGTTTGGGGAAGTTCTCAGCAATTATTTCTTCAAAGACACTTTCTATCCCTTTTTCTTTCTCTTCTTCCTCTGGTACCCCTATAATGCAGATACTGATCCTTTTGGATTGGTCACACAGTTCTCTTAATATTGTTTCATTCCTGGAGATCCTTTTATCTCTCTCTGCATCAGCTTCTCTGCGTTCCTGTTCTCTGGTTTCTATTCCATCAGTGGCCTCTTGCATCTCATCCATTCTGCTTATAAATCCTTCCAGAGTTTGTTTCACTTCTGTAATCTCCCTCCGGACACCTGTGGTCGCCCTCCGGATGTGTGTGATCTCCCTCCGGACTTCATCCCTTAGCTCTTGCATATTTCTCTGCAGGTCTGTCTGCATGTTTATGATATTTATTTTGAATTCTTTTTCAGGGAGACTGGTTAGGTCTGCCTCTGCAGATCCTCTCTCAGGTGTAACTATCTTGGTCTGGGCCAGATTTTTTTGCCTTTTCATGGTGATAGCAGTGGCTGTAGGCAGGTTGCGGGTGTGTCAGCTGGGAGAAGAAAGTCCTTTCCTGCTTGCTGGATGCCTTGCCCTTCTCCACTGCCTGTGACGGCTACCTGCACTCCTGGAGTGTCCACCGGGTTAATCTCCTAAGCTGCTGTGGGTGGGGTGTCCGTCAGTGCAGCGCGGTGCCCTGCGGGGAGTGGCAGGCACGCCAGGTGCGCTGCTCCGTGCTAGCGGCAAACCTGCCGGGCAACTGTGTAGCAGCAGCGGCCTTTGGGTCTGGCCCAGGCAGCCGTGCATTGGGCTGGGATTCCGGTTGGCTCCTGGGTGCGCGCCTGCTCCCTCTGTCTCCGCTGCTGGTGCGCGCGGGGCTTTTCCACCCAGGCTTCTACCGGGCTCTGGCTTCACTGCCGCCAGTGCGCGCAAGGTGCGCCTGGGCTGTTCGGTCGCACCGCTGCGGGCTAGCCCTGCAGTGCACGGATCTGCTCTCGGTTCCTTCTAGCGCTTCCATCCCCGGCGCACGCTCCCACTCTCCTGCTACTGGGCCCGTGTGTCGGGGTCCGTGCCGGTTGGAGGAACGACTGGCAGGCTGCCTAGTCCTGTGAGGGGCTTCAGAGCTGCAGTGCCTCCGTTTAGGGCGCCTAAGATTCCCCTGTATTCCCAGCTGCCGGGACACCTTCGTCCAGTTATGGGGTCCGTATCTCTTTTAAGACTTGCAGAAAGCACTCGCTTTTCTTTTGTCTCAGGTGCCCCAGTTGCGGGCACCTGCCCACAGGTTTTGCTTTTCCATTTCTCTAATATCCAGCACCCTGTGCACCTTGTGTCTGCGTTCTGGGTGCGGATTTCTAGAGCTGGTTGTTTAGCACTCCTGGGCTTTCACTCCCTCCCCATTCTGACTCCTTTCTTCCCGCCGGGTTTTGGGGTGGGGGAGCGTTCGGGTCCCTCCTGGCCGCGGCTTGTATCTTACCCCCTTCGTGTGATGCTGAGTTCTCGCAGATGTACATGTATCCTGGCTGTTGTACTGCATCCACTGGTGTCTCTTTTAGGAATAGTTGTATTTATTGTGTTTTCATAAATATATATGTTTTGGGGAGGAGATTTCCTCTGAACTACTCACGCCGCCATCTTCGCATGATCCCTCAAACTTAATTCTTTCAGCTGTCAAATTCATCTTGCGTTCCAATTTACAGTTACTATTGCACTAGTATATAGTAAATGCTGCTTTGTACTGCTTTGATCTGATTGTTTGATTTTGTAAAAGAGGATTTCCAAGTTTTCTTGATAATGACTCAGGCATCCCATTTCAGGGCTAGGCAAGATTGGCACATAGGAATCATAGATCTGTTCTGCCCCATGCACTGAATCTATAGAGGGAAAGAAAAAAGGCACTTCCGGTATCCAGGAACAGGTCTCCCAACATGGTCTCAGGCATGCTACTTTAAGCTGGGCTATCACTAACAACTAGGCCTTGTTCTAGAATGCCAACACCAGACAAGGTCACTCTGAGATTGGAATGGGAGGAGAAGATAATAAGCTCACTGTGCAACCCATGCAACACCAAAGGCCTCCCTCTCTCAGCTAAAATGAAAGATTGCTACTCAGTTAACCAAGTTTAGCTTTAACCTTATCTGGCTTGCCCTCCCTCTAGGTAGAATTCATTGAGACACCCAATCATAGAATTGCCTTGCTTCTGGTAGCTCTAATCTAGAGGAATGTCCTTAGACCCTTCTGGGCATCATCAGCTGTAGTTCCACGGCTGGGTCTCTTGAGAGAGGAGAGGCTCCCAGTGGGAAGGTGGGATTACAACACTGGACAGGTTGTCAGAAAACAACAGTTTCTCTATTCTTCTGCATTTTCTCACTTCTGTTTTTATTTTAATTTCCTTGTTTATTTATCAGGACTTTTTCCCCCCCTTTCCCTTTTGGTTTTTCATTAACGAAAGCCAGGCTCCTAAAAGAAAGGACAGGGGTCGAAATAGAAATCTGGAATGGGAGATTTATAGGTTTGTATACAAGAACCCATCATTGCAGTTGTGGTTGGCTTCATGCCAAGAAAGAAATGTATAATAAATCATAAGAGACTAAATGAATGCGAAAGCCTTTGGAAATAATCAGAAAAGATTAAGTTCTCAAAAACTGACAGTAGAAAGTAAGTAGTTACCTCTGAATGATGTTTATAGGGATTAAGAATATTTGGAAGGCATTAATTAGAAGGAAGTCTCTCTTGATTCAGCCTAAATTGCAACTCAGCATTTGGGATGTCATAGCAATTTGAATACATTCGTTCTTTGAAGTGATTTTTGATTATGCAGTCGTAGAAGGCTTTTAAACACTTGTTACCATACATTACATAGGCGCTTCTGTCCTCAGTTTCTTCAGAACAAAATTACATTTCATTTCTCATCTTTTTCATCATACTAAGACTAAAGTACATTTTGTCACATTGTGCATAATGTACAAGTCTATCAGATGATGCATTTGTTAAATAGTTGAACTTTGCCATCTCAACGGATTAGAGCAGTGGCTCCTCAGTTTTTAAGGATGAAGATTTCATGTACCTGTCAAAATAGTTCTGCCCCCTTCACCTTTGCCTCCAAGAAAATAGCTACCATATTCTCTTTTTCTGTTACAGTGTCATGCAGCTTCTTTTAATCCAGTATTATCTTAAGGAGTTTTTCTTTTGTTAATAACTGTAAAAACTTCTGCATATATTAAAAAATATTAGCACATATTGTTCACCACTTAGCAGAGTAGTGTACTTGTGGGTTGACAAACTCTTTGTAAGAACTGATTAGTATCTATGGTACTCAGATTGGGAACTACTGGTTTAGAGCTTGACAAGGCAAAATTTTCACCTCCTTGCTTTTGCTGATTTAATTTCCAGAGTAGTTTACTGGACTCTGCCTGCAAATCTGACTATGTAATTTTAGGTGGTCGGTTAACTAAAATGGCAGTAGTATGGAACAATATTATTGGCCACCCTCCTATTTTTGATGTTTGTTGTGGGAGGTAGGTATGGGAAGGCTGGCCCAGACGGTCACCAATCAATGGGAAATGATGAAGGTCAGGTACTGTGTGTTTTGAGCTGCAGCAGGGCATTTCTTCCCCAAGAGAAAAGGAGTTGAAAAGAGCAGGGTTGGAGAGCCAAGTAAAATGATGTGGATGGTCAGTTGGAGTTTAAACATTGACAAAAGCGCAAACAGATCCCAAGGTCGAGTCAATGGCAGGATTGCTGGGACAAATGTTCAAGAGTTGAGTTTGCAAAGGATTGGGGTAGAAGCAGGAGCAGGTATGATACTGCTTTTCATTCATCTGCTTTTTAAGTCGATCCGGATTTGGTTGTTTGTTTTTAATGATTGGCAAAAGCCTGATTGGCTTACTGTGAAATGTTTTCCATTTGCTTTCCCAAAGTATACTTCTCAACTCTGATTAGAAACTAGGTTAGTTTGTTTTCCTTTTTATAAGTGAAAGCCGTAACACTGGTTTGATCCTGTCAGAGGAAGCAGGATAATAGGCGTTTGGACTGGAAAATCCATCTCCTGATCCCCAATTCTCAAACCTACACTTTACACAATTTTTCTAATACAAATTAAATAGTTTATCTTTTCTTACACCCTCTCCTATGGGTTTTCTTTCCCACAGGAAAACAATCTGTTTTCTAGCTACATGCTGTTCAAACATCTGCATGTAGTGGTCGTGCGGATATGTGATGGTGGACTTCAGGGGATTCTTTGTAAATCTGCGATCACTACTCTGATCCTTCTTTTCTGGTGTGGAAGCTGAGACTGGTTCAGATGAGTTCACTGGGCTGGATCAGGAATGAGGACCATTTCTCTCCCACAACTGTGAGGTATTGTGCCAATAGATGAATATCAAACCATCTGAATGTCAAAGGGCAAACCTAGAGGAGTGTGAGTGTAAGTGGGACGTTAGAGCAAGAAGGCCTACGTTAAGTGATGTTAAATCGAATTCTACACTGCATTCCTATGATAATGTCAGGTGTGACTCTTCTGGATGGGGATAGGTTATGCCCTCTTTTCCAGACTTATTTGATCATTAACACAGAGCACAGTTCCACGGAAGATGATACGGAGAATGCTGCCATAACACAAATAAAATGTAAAACATAAGCTCCACTAGCAGGGCAGTCATGTTATTTTTTAATGTGGAGAAGTAGAATTGCTTTGAAATGAGCAGAGCAAAAATTATATAATTTAATTTGTTAATGTCTGTGAGGTGATATGGCACATCAATATAACATACTAAAACTGAGATGGTTGGATTTTGCACCGTTTCAGTAAATTTCAGATAATAGGGAACTGGTGTGGTGGCCACAGTTGAAACGGAGACACACTTTGGCCACCCTGGACATCATGACGTGGTCCCTATTCGTGTAAATAGAAACTCAAATCTAATTTCAAGCAAAGCCTTAGTAATAGTGGTGAGAGTCCAGTAAAATTCACTTCTTAGATTCAAATTAGTTCCTTCCTCGAAGTACAACAAAACATTATTTTAAATGCCCAAAGTGTTCTTTTTTGTACTCAAATATCTCTCAGTGATTGTGTTTTTCTAGCACAAAGACAAATGTGTTTACATTGAAACATACTGCTTGAAAGTCCTATTTACATCACTCACACCAGTAGGTCTGGACGCACTTTTCCCTATGAGAACGTACAAATGTCACGGTCTTCTTTACTTCTCTCTAGTCATCTTTCAAGGACAAAATTCCTCTTAATTAAGATTTTAACTTGTGAAGTGGAATGTTTCATGATCCGAATTAATGTCAGTCAGTATGCGTTAGTATGCTGAGACATCTGTTCAGAACAAAGGTCACCCTCCTGTCCAGTGAATTTACACTGCTAGGTATGTATGGCTTCTACTTTCTCTTTCTCATGAAATCATAGTTACCTGCAGGCAACCTTACCAGTGGAGAGTACCAGTTTGCGTCTTCCCGCATTGTTTTCTTTTTTTAAAAAAAAATTCTATTAAGGTATTATTGATGTACCCTCTTACGAAGGTTTCACATGAAAGAACAATGTGGTTACTACATTCACCCATATTATCAAGTCCCCACCCATACCCCGATACAGTCACTGTCCATCAGTGTAGTAAGGTGCCACAGATTCACTGTTTGCCTTCTCTGTGCTACACTGTTTTCCCGGTGACCCCCCACACCATGTGTACTAAACATAATATCCCTCAATCCCCATGTCCCTCCCTCCCGACCCGCCCTCCCACACCCCTCCCCTTTGGTAACCACTAGTCCCTTCTTGGAGTCTCTGAGTCCGCTGCTGTTTTGTTCCTTCAGTTTTGTTTCATTGTTATACTCCACAAATGAGGGAAATCATTTGGCACTTGTCTTTCTTCGCCTGGCTTATTTCACTGAGCTTAATATCCTCCAGCTCCATCCATGTTACTGCAAATGGTAAGATTTGTTTCTTTCTCATGGCTGAATGGTATTCCACTGTGTATGTGTACCACACCTTCTTTATCCATTCATCTGCTGATGGACACTTAGGTTGCTTCCATTTCTTGACTATTGTACACAGTGCTGCGATAAACATAGGGGTGCATATGTCTTTTTGAATCTGAGAAGTTGTATTCTTTGGGTAAATTCCAAGGAGTGGGATTACCTCTACTCAGATGGTATTTCCATTTTTAGTTTTTTGAGGATCCTCCCTATTGCTTTCCACAATGGTTGAACTAGCTTACATTCCCACCAGCAGTGTAGGAGGATTCCCCTTTCTCCGCATCCTGGCCAGCATTTGTTGTTCTTAGTCTTTTTGATGCTGGCCATCCTTAGTGGTGTGAGGTGATATCTCATTGTGGTTTTAATTTGCATTTCCCTGATGATTAGTGATGTGGAGCATCTTTTCCTGTGTCTGTTGGCCATCTGAATTTCTTCTTTGGAGAACTGTCTCTTCATATCCTCTGCCATTTTTTGATCGGGTTATTTGCTTTTTGGGTGTTGAGGTGTGTGAGTTCTTTATGTATTTTGGATGTTAACCCTTTGTTGGATATGTCATTTACAAATATAGTCTCCCATACTGTAGGATGCCTTTTTGTTCTGTTGATGGTATCCTTGGTGGTACAGGAACTTTTTATTTTTATTTTGATGTAGTCCATGAGTGCATTTTTGCCTTTGTTTCCCTTGCCCAGGGAGATATGTTCATGAAGAAGTCACTCATGTTTATGTCCATGAGATTTTTGCCTATGTTTTTTTCTTAGAGTTTTATGGTGTCATGACTTACATTCAGGTCTTTGATCCGTTTTGAGTTTTCTTTTGTGTATGGGGTTAAACAATAATCCAGTTTCATTCTCTTGCACGTAGCTGTCCAGTTTTGCCAACACCAGCTTTAGAAGAGGCTGTCATTTCCCCATTGTATGTCCATGGCTCCTTTATCATGTATTAATTGACCATATATGCTTGGGTTTATATCAGGGCTCTCTAGTCTGTACCACTGGTCAATGGGTCTGTTCTTGTGCCAGTACCAAATTGTCTTGATTACTGTGGCTTTGTAGTAGAGCTTGAAGTTGGGGAGCAAAATCCCCCCAGCTTTATTCTTCCTTCTCAGGCAGGATTGCTTTGGCTCTTCAGGGTCTTTTGTGAGTCCATATGAATTTTAGAACGATTTTCTCTAGTTCGTTGAAGAATGCTGTTGGTATTTTGACAGGAATTGCATTGAATCTGTAGATTGCTTTAAGCAGGATGGCCATTTTGACAATATTAATTCTTCCTATCCATGAGCACGGGATGTTTCCACTTATTGGTATCTTCTTTAACTTCTCTCATGAGTGTCTTGGAGTTTTCAGAGTATAGGTCTTTCACTTCCTTGGTTCGGTTTATTCCTAGGTATTTTATTCTTTTTGATGCAACCGTGAATGGAATTGTTCTCCTGATTTCTCTTCCTGCTAGCTCATTGTTAGTGTATAGAAATAGCACAGATTTCTGCATATTAATTTTGTATCCTGCAAGTTTGCTGAATTCAGATATTAGATCTAGTAGTTTTGGAGTGGATTCCTTAGGGTTTTTTATGTACAATATCATGTCATCTGCAAACAGGGACAGTTTAACGTCTTTCTTGCCAATCTGGATGCCTTTTATTTCTTTGTATTGTCTGATTGCTGTGGCCAGGACCACCAGTACTATTTTGCATAAAACTGGGGAGAGTGGGCATCCTTGTCTTGTTCCCGATCTTAAAGGAAAAGCTTTCAGTTTCTCGCTGTTCAGTATGATGTTGGCTGTGGGTTTGTCACATATGGCCTTTATTATGTTGAGGTACTTGCCCTCTCTGCCCAATTTGTTGAGAGTTTTTATCACGAATGGATGTTGAATTTTGTCAAATGCTTTTTCAGCGTCTATGGAGATGATCATGTGGTTTTGTTCCTTCTTTTTTTTTATGTGGTGGATGATGTTGATGGATTTTCGAATGTTGTATCATCCTTGCGTCCCTGGAACAAATCGTATTTGATCATGATGGATGGTCTTTTTGATGTATTTTTGAATTTGGTTTGCTAATATTTTCTTGAGTATTTTTGCATCTATGTCCCATCAGGGATATTGGTCTGTAACTTTCATTTTTTATGGTGTCTTTGCCTGGTTTTTGTATTTGAGTGATGCTGGCCTCATAGAATGAGTTTGGAAGTGTTCCCTCTTCTTCTACTCTTTGGAAAACTTTAAGGAGGATGGATATTAGGTCTTACCTAAATGTTTGATAAAATTCAACAGTGAAGCCATCTCGACCAGGGGGGGTTTTGTTCTTAGGTAGTTTTTTGATTACCAGTTCAGTTTTGTCACTGGTAATTGGTATGTTCAGATTTACTGTTTTTTCCTGGGTCATCCTTGGATGGTTGTATTTTTCTAGAAAGTTGTCCATTTCTTCTAGGTTATCCAGTTTGTTAGCATATAGTTTTTCATAGTATTCTCTAATACTTCTTTGTACTTCTGTGGTGTCCATAGTGATTTTTCCTTTCTCATTTCTGATTCTGTTTGTGTGAGTAGACTCTTTTTCTTGCTAAGTCTGGCTAGGGCTTTATCTATTTTGTTTATTTTCTCAAAGAACCAGCTTTTGCTTTCATTGATTCGTTCTATTGTTTTATTCCTCTCAATTTTATTTATTTCTGCTCTATTCTTTATTACATCGCTCTTTCTACTGACTTTGGGCCTCATTTGTTCTTCTTTTTCAAGTTTCATTAATTGAGAGTTCAGACTGCTCATATGGGATCGTACTTCTTTTCTGAAGTAGGCCTACATTGCAATATACTTTCCTCTTAGCACGGCCTTCTCTGTGTCCCACAGATTTTGCGGTGTTGAATTATTTTTGTCATTTGTCTGCCTATATTATTGCTGGTTCTCTGTTTTTATTTGGTCATTGATCCATTGGTTATTTAGGAGCAGGTTGTGAAGCCTCCATGTGTTTGTGGGCTTTTTCGTTTTCTTTGGGTAATTTATTTTTAGTTTTATACCTTTGTGGTCTGAGAAACGGGTTGGTACAGTTTCAGTGTTTTTGAATTTACTGAGGCTCTTTTTGTGGCCTAGTATATGATCTGTTCTTGAAAATGCTCCATGTGCACTTGAGAAGAATGTGTATTCTGCTGCTTCTGGGTGTAGAGTTCTGTAGATGTCTGTTAGGTCCAGCTGTTCTAATGTGTTGTACTGTGCCTCTGTGTCCTTAGGTATTTTCTGTCTGGTGGATCTGTCCTTCAGAGAGAGTGGCGTGTTGAAGTCTAGAATGAAAACATTGCATTCTATTTCCCCTTTTAATTCAGTTAGTATTTGTTTCACATGTGTAGGTGCTCCTGTGTTGGGAAGCATAGATATTTATAATGGTTATATCTTCTTGTTGGATT